ATGTGCCGTGAATTTCCACGATTTTTTTTTTTTTTGTTTGTTTGCGAATTTTTTGAGATATTAGCGAAGCTACCGTTATAGCCATGTTACAGCAATAAGTATTAAAGATAATGTAGCTACAGAACTGTAGCAACAAGTGTTAAAGATACTATAGCAACAAGAATCAGCGTAAGTTGTAAATTAATAGGACAGAGGTTCAACAGGACTTCTTTCTTTACCTGTAGGAGCGAAAATATACGAAGCGGAAACATAGGCACATGCAATAATAGCAGACACAATTTGAGAAATTTCCAGCTAAATAAATGGAAACAAAGCAAATGGAGCCACCTGATGACAAAAAGGGGAAACCAGCTAGAAAGTTTTAAAAGCTGGAGCAAAAGATGGATTAAAATTGAGATCCTCAATCATAAATGAAAGGATTTTTTAAGAATGTAATATGACTCTAAGAAAACTAATTCGCCAACGGAAGATATTCCTGTAATACACTAGGCTGCAGAGAAATCGAAAATGTGAGTTTTTACCCAGCAGTGTTGAGCAATGGGAGATTTGTGAATTTCTTTTTTTCCTAACGTATGTCACATGCTCCTTAGTGCGAAATTTCAATGCTGTGTTGAACAGTTCGACCAACGCATGAATGTATTAAGCCACACTGACAAAGAATACTGTAAATATCCCAGGAGTTCATGTCCGAAACAGGGTCTTTAAGTATCGAATTGCAAATTTTATTGGTAGTAGAAAAAATGGCTCAAAAGTTAACTTTTGTAGAATACATTAAATTGTATCACTTATTGATGGAAATAAAGTAATGATTACTGAATTCATTTAATTTCTCGACACGAGAGACTGATTTTTATTGTATTGGGATTTAACTTTTTTAACCGCTTGGTCAATAACACGAGGTGAAACACTTATGTCATTTACAGCTACTTTTAAGCAGCTGAGTTCTTGATCAAGAATTGACTTGGAGTACAAGAAAAACGAAAGACTAAAATGAAGCAAATCAGGAATTCGAAATTATTCGTTCATGTTCCGCGAATGATGAAGGAATTTCCGTATTTTTTAAAAAAAATATTTTTGTTATAATTCTCTTAGATTACTTTTACATTTAAAGAAACTTATTTCCTTCTGAATTTTCTTAGAGGTAGAAGAAACAAAATAATCATATTCTATTAAGCATAAAAAATTTTCATATTCGAAAACGAAACCAGAATTTGGAATGTTTGCTGGCTTTCAGACTCGGTTTCCGAAATTACATGAACTGTGTATTTGTTGTCAATCAAAGCCAGCAAAAGATTTGATGCTGATTGGTTTATGGTTTATGTGATTACTGCAAAGCCTCGAGGGCTGGCTGCCTAAGGGAAGGGATGCCTTAATGGAGGCCGTTCTAAGGAAAACTGGCTCGTACACACTTTACACATCGAGAAAATCACGACAACGCCCATGCAGCCAGCCCATTCGCGAGATTCATTCGCCCGTTCGCGAATTTTCTCTGCTTGCTCTGTAATTGTTCCGTATCTGTTGGCCTTTTATCTCGCAATAAAATTACTGTCCTAGTTATAACTAATCAATGATTCTCTATGAAAACAAAGAATATTCAGTCTATGTATAGGCGTAATTACTTTTCCGTTAGCTTTCATTGACTAAACATTTGCCAAATGTAATACGCCAGATTAATGTCACTCAAATTAATTTATATTAACAGCTTCTTAAAAGATATGTACTCTACTGAATGATCTTTCCATATTATTTAAATTAAATACTAAATTACTAAAAACTCATGTTATTTAACAAGATGATTCATTTACTAATTTGACATGAGAGGAAGAAATACAATCCGGACAATGAAATTTCACATATCTTTTTCAAGTTTGAATAATTGGATATTCGCTACAAAAGTCAAAATAATTTTTCTTTCGGAACTTTGAGAAAGAAAATTGAAATATATCATGAAGTAATTCTTTCGTGTTTCCCTCGCGAAATATTTTCCGGAACAGTTTTTTATTGATATAAGTAAATGAGAGATGCACGTTAAAGGAATGGTTTTACTCATTTTCTTTAAAAGTGGGATTTAATTTTTCAAAATTGAGAAATCAAGAAAATAGAATTTGGCAACGATGGATGAGTTTTATGGATTGGTTTGATGGCAAGATAAAAATCAGAAAGTTCATTTCGAGATAAATGGAGATAAGAAAACATAAAAATAAGTGAGTTAGGTGAGAGTAGATCATTAAGCATTCGATGTGCTAGGTTAACAGTTATATCCCCGAATATTTCCTTAATAAACCTTGTTCCTATTTTGAAATAGACATGCCCTGTCATCATATTGATATTACTCCCTCATACGCCTGCCACCAACAGCCTGAGAGCCATTTTCGGAACGACAAACTTATAAACACCGCAAATCTCACCTTGTAAGGAATTATCACATGTCCCCCTGTGCGTGCATTCATCTTGCAAGTTGTTAGCACGTCCAGCTAGGAACTGGAGAACTCTTGGTTCAACTTACATCAAGGTTACAACTGATTTTTTCTGTTTCCTTTTAGGAAATATTTAATGGTCTCTATAGTCACTACCGAACTAAAATGAAGTGAATAATAATATGTTACCGCTTGAATCTGGTTGGCTGGCTCTTAAGCCTCTCTCCATTCATTCAATATGGGAAGGTTTATTACATTCTCCCGTCCGTGCTGCTGTGGTAACAGTGTTTAGTATATCCCGTTAAGAAATAGAAGACTCGTAGTTTGAATAATGCGAATGCGCAGTTATGTTGCCCTATTCAGATAATTCTAATACTTAGCAAAACTTTTCTGGACTTCAAACCGAAGTCTCTAAATTTCGTGATAGCCTCAGTTAATGAACTTACTATTGAAATGATAAGGAATAGAGATTGAAATGAAAGGTGAACAGTTATGCCTATTCTCGTCATGCGTAATGGCATAAGATATAATGCAATATTGATGGCCTATCAGAAATCGAAATCAAGAGATTAAATCTACTCTATGTTTCATTCTTGAAAACTCAGTGTTTTGAAACCATATAAAAGTGGAATATATTTGGAAATGGAATAATTTTTTAAATAAATGAGTAGTCTTGGTATTATATTCCCCCGAAATGTTTTCTTTTCTTTTTTTTTTTTTTTTTTTCGACTTAACTGTTTGAGAAAGACTTCGTCTTAAATATTACTAAATTCGCTTACGATAGCAAGAGGCTGTTTCTAATGACATTTTACACACTTAATTAAATTAGAAAGCCTAACTCAAAATTTGCTAAATTCTCTAGAATATTATGCAAGATACCTTAATTCTGAGACAAACACATAACGCGAATTCAGTTTTTAGCCGAAAGGGCGTTAGCCCAAGGTTGTTAATTTAGTTTTGGCATTTTGTTGCGTTTCACTTTTCAAATTGTTGCCACCAAATATTATAGCGCTATATTATATTTAAAAAAATTAAACAATAAAAAATCTGCATGAATGCATGTATGTTTCTCGCATTGCGATAAAACAACGGTACCTAGAGTCATCAAATTTTCAGTAACGTAAGTCTCTACCCGAATATGGGTATCTGGAAGACGAAATTTGGAATTTGTTTTATTATCTATTTCATATTTTGTAAAGCATTTGTGTGTTTTCTATTAAGAAACTCAGTGATTTCAAATGGAGCAATGGCAACGCTGTACGGAAAATAAAAAAGAAAAACACTTTTATCTCCAGCGCGCGAGACTGTTTATCGGAAATTCTACAGATATGCTCTTTTAAATTATTTTGCAATACTGCTGTTGAATTGAATTTTATGGTTTAAATGTAAAGAATATATTGTTACGAAATGTACATGCGGGGTAAGATGGCTTTCCCGCAAAGCAGTTTTAGGGTTGCATAAAATAACAAGGAAGGTAGGGTTGCCACATTTGGCGAGAAATAGCCCATTTAGCGACAGAATTGGCGATATGCCATGGACGGATGGAGAACCTTCTGGAACGAATTATTACCGGTTTAGCCCAGAATGTTCTCGAACACCAGTCAAAAGTTTACATAAACCCTGCTGGTACGCGAAGAGTTAGTATCGAGTGTTTGTGCCTCGTCTAGCGAGCCGATAGACAGTTATTGAGCGAGTGGCTCGAAGTCTAGCATCGAGAGAATCTTTTAGTGTATCGCGAGTTAGTGCATCGTCGAGTTTTATCTTAGACTGCTGAGTCGAGAGCTATACTCTTGTGTATCGTCGAGTGCATTGCGAGTTGTAGCGTGGAGTTCCGAGAACGACGAAGCAGAGTCGGAAGCTGTACTCTGGTGCTATGCAGTGAAGCTGTCTCGACCGTTATAGCCTGATAGGCTGTGTCACTGATTGTGTCAGCGTGTTTACAGTAATTCTTCTACGACTGTAAAACGTGATTTTGGAGCTTTCCTGATTAATATTGTCTAAATAAAGTGTATTTCGATACTTCATCAAGTATTGTCATCATTATTCACTCCAAATCCATACAAGCCCTGTACGAATGGGAAGGAAGAAAATAACGTAACAACTGGTGTCAGAAGAAAAACGTAACAATATTTAATAAATAAAGGTAACACACAAAACGTTAACAAAAAGCCCCTTTGGCCGTAATATAAAATCTGAAAACTTTCAGATTTTATTTTTTTTTTAAATTTAATTTCTTTTTAAGGTTTTAGAATACTGATGCAGAAAATAAATGGTTATTTTAAACTAAAAATGGTACTGGCAATTAATTCAAACAGTGATATTACAATGGCACGTTTTCCTTTTAATAAAGATACTAGAACGAGCAGGAGGCTTATTACCTTCTAAAATGTCTCAAAGGAGTTTGTCTCCAATCGTCACCTCTCAAACCATAATTGATTAAAATTATGCAAAACAGCAACCGTATTTTGACATAGGTTTTGAATGAAACTCCATCGACTTAGAGCACGATCAGAGATATAGATCTTTCTTCTCAAGGCAAAAAAGTAAAAATACTGTTTTAATGATATCAAAAGATTCTCTTACCAAGGTTAGACCGAAAGGATGGAGGACATCATGAACCAGTTGCATCCTATGCTTGCCGGTGAGGTCAGATGCTTCAATTCTATCCAGCTGAGCATCTACCCAATACAGACGCCTTGCCTCGTAATCAATTGTTAAACCATTGGGCCAACCCAAGTCAGCTGCTACGATGACTCTTCGGCCACCTCCATCCAAATACGCTCTCTCGATTTTTGGTGGCTTTCCCCAATCAGACCAGAACAGATATCTGTAAAGATAAAGGACTGAACTATTTGAAATATTCAGCAATATTGCTAGAATGCAAGAACACATACTGGCATTAAATTAAAAACTTCAATGTACGTTCTACGCACAGATTTGACAGAACTTATAAACGAATAAGGATATGCAAGTAAATACGTGAATAGCTATGCCCAAACAAATAACGACATGCGGGTTAATAAGTGAAGAGCTATGTCCGGCTAACTCAACTGAAACTCGAATAATGAAAAGGAATTACAATAAGGTTTTGACCGTTTTAGCTTCGGTTTATTAAAAATAAACAAAATGTAGGTGAACAAGAATATTAACAGAAGTAATGATGAATTAATCACTGACTGCAGTTTAGTCGAAATACTTCAACACTGCCAAAGCGTTGTCGCCATAATAAACATAATACGTCATAATAATAAATCTTTGCTGTCATAATAAGCATGTCAGGTAGAGCTGGGAGGGTCACCAGATTTGGTTGTACAGGTGTAGGTCCCACTTGCTAGTGATTTAAATGTCTTCATGCCGCCCAGATTCCGAACATGTTTTCTCTTACTTCCAGGGCATGGAAGTTACGTCTAGGGAGTTTAGAGTTTTTAAAGAGGATTGGGCGGGCTGCATGGGTGTTTTCGTTGTTTTCCCCATGTGTAACATGTATACGAGCCAGTTTCTCTTAGAAAGTCCTCCTCGAACGCATCCTTTCCTTTGAGTGCTTTGAAAAAAATCAAATAAACCAAACCTGCAACATTCAGCGGACCGTATGTTAATTAAGACAAACGTTTTTACTTCCTTGTACGAAGTAAAAAGGAAGTATTGTAATCGTGAAAAGTTTCAGGCAGCATATTTCAACGAAATATCCATTTTGACCGCAATCGAATGCAATTTAACGATGTTTTTGCGTCATATCTGTACGTAAGGACAGAATAAAATACTCTTTTCCTTCAAAAACAATTATAAAACTGCTTTAAAATTAATTCTGAAGAGAATTTTTCGTGGCGTCTGTACGAACGTATGTACGTACGTACGTATCTCGCATAACTCAAAAACGAGTAGCCTCGGAACGTTGAAATTTTGTATATAGGACTGCTATAACATGTAGATGTGCACCTCATATTTTGGTTGCAATCGGCAGCACCAAACGTATATAAATATATTTATATATATATCCACTCTATTACCCGGCTCAGTGATCTCAGTTTCTTTACTCTTATATGTTTGTAAATTGTACATTTTTTGCTTTAAAAATGATTGAATTATGTTGTTTTTATCTTCCGGTTAAGGGTTTTATGCCTTTAGTAAATCTGTGTGCAATGTTTTTAGAATTATCAGCAATTTTAAAGTTGTTTAATTGCCGCTAAGCCTTTTTTAATGGAGGCCATTGATATCTACATTTGAAACAGGAGAGTAGTGGATTTGTTGCCAATCTAGAGAAACTTAGCTTAGCAACAACAAAGATAACGCATTCATTTATTATTGCCAATTAAATCATGCTTAATTCTTTCTGGAATTTTTTCGAGGAAATAAGCGTTTGAGATTTACTTCGTAATTTTTAATATAAATATTTTGAGTTTTTATGTATTTTTGCCTTCTCGCGAAGTGAGAACTGAATTAATTAAATGAGAAATACTCAATCGTTTGTGAAAACTGTTTCTGTTTTGTTTTGTTTGCTTAATTTCTTTTATACATAGTTCTTTTATACATAGTTTATTTATACATAATTTCATACATTATACATAGTTTCTTTTATACATAGTTCTAGCTTTATTATAGTATTTGAATAGAACATGTGGCAACGATTAGATAATTCTTTAAATGATATACATTTTGTGCATTCTGAGTTATAATATGAATGAAATATAACACTGTTAAGTAAGCCAGAGTGTCGCTATGGTAAACAAAGTGAATTTTAAAGAATGCATTTATTCTATTATGGTTTATGCGCTGTCGGCGAAGTAGGTGTTTAATTCAATCTAATAAGTTTAAATAAAATGCTAGAAAAAATGCGTATAATTTAATATTCCGTACAAGGAAGTCATGTGGTGTACACATCAGATTTTTTTGATAGTAGGATCCAATAACTTTGAAAATAATCCACTGTAAAATTGCAGTACTGTAAAAGGGATGTCACAAATTTTGATAATTTTCTTTCAAAATAAATAAATAAAAAAAAAACCCTATAACAGTTAATTTATAATCTTATGTATAAGAAACAAAACATGGCATATCGAGAATCAATTGGCGTTACATCAAACGAAAACGCAGATGTTATGGATGTGTTGCAACGCAATACTCACACGTTACAGGTGTTAAGTAGTGCAGCTTGGTGGAAGTTTCTCGGTCGACGGGATAAAACGAAAGTAGTATATAAGAAGGTTAAGACAACTTACTGGATTACGGAAAAGCACACGAAGGCTTATTATTGCCCAAGGGAAAGAATACCTTCGTGGAGGAGGTTTTTAAAGGGAACTAGGTAGTATTCAGTTTACACATCCAGAAAATCACGAAAACTCTCCAAACCAATTCGTCCGTTTGAATTTGGTACTGGGAGCATTATTATAAGACATTATTGTTTTTTAGAAGATGATGTTTTTTCTATGTTTTCTCTGTTTTAAAATGTTTTTTTTTTCCTATCACAAAACCTACATTTTGAATGATATGAATATAATATTTCCAATGAAATTAACATTGTGAAGAACGATAATATCATTTTCTCAAGGAAAATACGTATAGTAAAAAAACGGTAATTTTTTTCTACAAATAGAATAAATGCAAACAGGTTTCTAATAATAATAAGATTCTATATTCTATTTCAATTAAATGGAAAAAAGCATACTTTTTAAAAGATTGGGAAGCCCTTATTATTTTTTTCAGTGACTTGGAAAAACGTTACCTGATAAACTTTTCTCTAAACTCCAGAATCCAATTATTAGTAATAAGAATTAATTTATTTTCTCAAGTAAACGTGCTTGAACAGCATTTCTAGAGCTTCGGAATTAATTTATAGTGTAATGTAATTTGAATAAACTACTAACCTGTTTTTTCTTTTAAATGTAACTGATAACGGATCTAGTAAATTGCAATGCTACACAAGATTTGTGAAACAATTTTTTTATGACCCGAATGATTAAATACAGGAAATAATAAATAACGATAGAGAATGTAACAATAAATGTAAAATTAGAACTAAAGGAATGCAACTTCCATTACCCTTTTCTTGGGAAGACGACAATGGCGCGAGGTTCATCTAAATCCAGGTCAACTAAAATCCTTCGGCTAGTGCCATCAACTCTGGCTACTTCGATAACGTTGCGCCCAGTATCAGTCCAGTACAGATTTTTTGCAACCCAATCAACTGCTAAACCATCAGCTGTTATTAGGTCACTCGATATAACTGTTCGGATCCCAGATCCATTCCAACTTGCTCTCCTGTGTATAGAAAATGCTCATAACTACATATTTAATGAAAACATTAACTAGAAACGTTTTACTCATACACATATAACACAAACGACAAAGCAAATGAAGCATACTTGATCAAAATGGTTGAATCTTGAGTTTTAATTTGTCAATAACTGAGCAACGATTCAGATTTATTAGTCCAAAGGGCTTTGTCCCTGAGGGACTATTGTTTTCGTTTTGCGATTTTGCGTTGAATCACTTGGAATATCCGTTTCACTTTTCAAACTGTTGCCACCAAATATTATCGCCTTGTATTATAGCTGAAGAAATTAAATAATGAAGAATCTTCTTAAATGTATGTATGTTTCTCGCATTGTGGCAAAACCTAGAGACCTAGAGCTATCAAATTTTGAATGACGTAATCCTACTGCGAATATGGGCATCTGGAAGCCCAAATTTAAAATTTGGAATTTTTTATCGATTTCATATTTTGTGAAACTTTAACGAATTTTTGATTAACAATGTCAACGATTCCAAAGCAAGCGATGGCAAAGTTGTACAAAAATACATTTTTATCTCCAGCGCGTGAGACTGTGTATCGGAAATTCTAAAGGAAATTGTCAATTTAAAATTATTTTGCGATATTGCTCTTGAACTGAATTTTACGGTTTAAGTGCGAAGAACATGATATTTAATAAATAAAGGTAACTCATAAAATGTTAAAAAAACGCCCTTTTGGACGTAATTTAAAATCTGAAACTTTTCTGATTTTTTTAAATCTTTTATAAATTTTAAAATCAAAGTTAATGGAGAGGAAACAGAATTACTTCAAAATTTAACACAGTTAACACTAAACATGGAACGCTTAATTTTCTCCAGAAAATTAAGAATGTTCTCTCAAAGCCGCTACGATATGATACTAATGGTTAACTGGAATTGCAAAAATTTCGTTCGATATTTGATGACTGCTTCTGTTGAAAGTATTTAAAACTACTCTTATTAAAATTCTAAACTGAAATATTTAATTTTAGTTTGATTTTTAGTTAGAAATATTCGAATGAAGGAAAAAAAGCGAAGATGCCCATATCGAATAGCCCATATCTAATAATTAGCATAAACATATACAGATGCGATCTTACGCAGATTTATTACTTCCAACATTATTTAGAAAATGCTAATTTAATATTTTTCACATAAATATATAAAATAATCTAGCGAAAATATAAACCTTATATAAAATGTTACCTATATTAAATTCCTTAAAATTACCCCTACTAAAAATGCCCCATAGAAACCCAGTAAAACTTTTTATGGGTACCCATAAGATTTATGGGTTTTATTGACTTTTACTGGTTTCTGTTGGTCTCTGTGGGTTTTTTTTTACTGGTTTCAAAAATGACCCATAGAAACCAGTAAAACTTTCTACTGGTACCTATAGAATTTTTGATGGTCTCTATTGACTTTTACTGGTTTCTATTGATCTCTGTGGGTTTTTCTTACTGGTATCAATTGACACCCATACAACCAACATTCAATGGCAGAAATTTGTACTGGTTTGTATAGGTTTATATTGACTTTTGCTGGTTTTCTTACTGGTATCAATATAATAATAAATCTTCTGTTGGTTTATATGGGTTTGTGCTATTTTTTTATCTGACGTTAATATACTTCTTGTAAACAATAAAATTAACAGAATGAAAATATGATCTCTTTAAGACCACCAGAGTAACCTGTAAACGCAGGTGGTCGTTTTAGAGAGGGTTTTTACTAAATATGCTATATTTTTTATTTAAATTTTTTTTTTCGGAAACAATAACAGTAATCATATACACCACACACAACGAGGTCTCTCCAAGGCGACCAGCCGCAAATAAAAGTTCATCTTTGCAAGTGGTCGCCTTAGAGAGGTGATGCTCAATACCAATAGATACTCACGTTCTCAGAGATACGTTTATCTTTTAGAGGTGGTCATCTTAGGGAGATTGCATCTACGGAATGAATCTCTCTAAGGCGACCAGACACACTTGCAGAATTTTCTTTGCGAATGGTCGCCTTACAGAGGGAATATTCAATTCCAAAGTATACTTATGTTTTCAGAAATACTGGTCTCTTTCAGAGGCGGTCGTCTTAGGGAGGTGGTTTTTGCTACGAGTTGGTTCTCTGAATACACACACATAAGCACTTACATTTCTGATATTACAAATAAACACCGGTATCAACCAACATCTCTTTAACGCGAACAAGTTCATTCACAATCGCAAAACTTTTCTCCCTGTTAACGCTGACGTGAAGAAAAAATTCCCCCTCCCTCCCCCACTCTCAGAAGTTTCCCAAACAAGCAATATGGCGCCGCTCTAGTTATTGTTGTGTGATGGTGGTGTTATTTTCTACGTGGTTGTAGTAATGCAATATATTATTTACTAGGATTTCCTGTATTACAAATTTTACTATGTTTTACTGTTTAGAAATTAGTAATAAATAATAAAATACCAGCACTGACCATGAATATACCACTAAAGCCATTCACGTGTAATCGTGTCTAATGTTTGAGAGAACGTTGCTGATAACTGACTACAGTCAAAAGTCGTTAATCCGGACTCGTCGGGACTTCGGCGATTCCGGATTATCGATTTTTCCGGATTATAGATCATCAGTTTAAATCTCGTAAGATGGCATGCAGAAATTCTAAAATTAAAAATATGAAACCGTAATTTATGAAATAAAGAACAATTATGATCTAAAGGGTATCAAAATTTGCAAAAAGAAAAAGCTTAATATTTATTTGTTTACTTTATTAAACATTTCTTTCAATGTAAGTTGTTTAAGTTTGCTTCGTTTCATGTGATAATACTTTCTCTTTAATTCTATTAAACAGACATAATTTCTTGTTCAGTTACAAAGTTCCGCCGTTCAAGTCCTATAATTGCTGTGTCAAGAACACCGACTAATTTGTCAATCGAAATTTTTTTGTTTTCAATAACCTCTGTCACTTTTCTTCGCTATCGGAAGCGAATTATAATGACGAGGAACTTGTTTTAAATCATATCAAAGACGGAGCATATCGAGATGAAATACTACATTTGGTAAGGAATTATAAGCCAAATAAAATAAAAACATTGCGCGCTGAAGATAAGATAGTGCTGACAAATCAAACTTCCAATTCATTACGCGCCCGCCGCCGAGCAGCGTGAAATTGATAAACAGATTTCGGATTTCAAAACATACTTTCGCTTTAGATCCTTTACATATTAACAAATATATATCGGAAATTCTATTTGATATAATCGAAAGTTTAAGCTTACTTTTATAAAATTGCTCTTACAGTCTGCAAAAAAATAATAAGCCGGATGCAATTCGAAAATTAAGGAACAACGCAATCATCAACATTAACTGAAATAGATAATTATTTAGCTTATACGTCCATTATACATAAAATGCGCACGCGAAAACGTATTCTGCACTTGCGCACACTCATATGCGCGCGCAGTCGTAAAAGGTCTTACGCGCACGCGTAAACGCTTATGCGCATGTGTTAACGCGGCGCATGCGCAGAAAGTTTTTAGTTTTGATGTCCGGATTATAGATCATTCCGAATTATGGGTGTCCGAATTAACGACTTTTGACTGTAGTTGTGAAATGGAGTTTCTGAGCGTGAAATTGATTTTCCATCTTTACTTTTATCCTGAAAAACAATGTGCTTAAAGACTGAAAAGTGATAATTTCAGGCTTGATAATTTGTTTCAGTGTGCAGATGCAGAAATGTAGTTTTTGCATTCTACTGAAACTGTATTTTGGAAAATTTACTTTTTTGATTACAGTTTAGAAATACTTTTTTAAAGCTTGTTCATGTAGATGCTTTATCATTTGAATATTATGTACTAATAAATTTGAGCATACCTTACTTAAAAGTGATCTTGCATGATTCAATTTTGAATTTTTCGACTAATGTGATGTGGCCGAGCAAAAAGAATGTTTTTTTTTATGTTTTAAAAAATGTACTAATTATATTTCGCGAGCAAAAAAGGTAAGTTTTATTAATGAAATAAACATTGAAGTATTTAATGTGTTTATTACTTATTGAATGGGGTAGACAAGACATACAAGCTTAAGGAATCTTTTTTCCACTACTAAAATTATGTGAAAATTTAGATGATCATAGTAGCTTACATTGTTTTTTCTTTTTGGTCTATTTTCTTTACAAGTATGAGACTAGAACCACATTTTTACATTAAATATTTTGTGCTATTTTTTAAAACACATATAATCATTTTTATGCATACTTTAATTTTCATTATTATTAGTTTGATGAAGAAAATTTCAAATGTGTTTTTCATAAATTGCTTTTGAAATAGAAATAGATTTGTGAATATTTATGTAATATTAAATGTACTAGTCTTGGGAGTATAAAACGTGAATTATTTATTTGAAAAAAATTACATTTAGTTGAAACCTCATATAGTGGTTATTTTCTTAAATGACCACCTCTGATAATGGCACATTTGTCAGGACAATAATTAAATAACAGGACTTCAATTAAATCATTCAATAATTAAATCATTCATAGTTTTGTCAGGCTACAGGAAACTGGCATTATCTCGAATTGTGGAGTTGATTGTTTTTGGAACGTTTTGCTGTCAATATTCAAAGTACTTTGAATATTTATAAGATAAATTATGACAGAAGTATTTCAGTATTAAAGTATTTCAGTATCCTTTTACAGTATTAAAGTAGCATGCAGTTATTCAGCAAATTCTATCTGTTTTTTTTTTTTTTTTTTTTTGGTCAACTGCAATTTTTCTCTCTTCATTACCCACAAAGTATACCACAAGGCTCACACTTAAGTAAGTTACTCAATAGGCTTAAGTATGTTACAGCGCTTACAAAATAAATAAAGAAATGCATAATAGCACTACAAATGGACAAAATAAATAAAAATAATAAATATAGATAAACGTCTGAAAGATTTTCAGATTTTATATTACGCCCAAAGGGACTTTTTTTATTTACACAAGTATACACGTTTCGAG